CCCCAAAACCCCAAAACCCCAAAACCCCTTAAAATAAAATGAGTTGCTTTTGATGAAATAAAGTTTTTTAATCAATCTAAATAGGTTATCTTAAATCAAAGACTGGTGAATCTCTCTGATCATAACTGAGTTTCACAAATCTCGCAGACAATGTTAGTAGCACTCTAAAGGTAGGTACAAGCAGGGCAATCCTTCATAGCTCCTTCATCTAAACCGTCTATACCGAAATTATCGCTACCACCAACAGCTTGGTCATTGCCATCATTGATATTTGAGTCGGAAACATTCAACTTAGAATACATGTTCTCATTGTTGACGTCATCTGATTCCTCAATTACCTGCAATGGCTATGAAGTTGGCTGCTCCTATTACTACTATTCACTGTTCTACTGCTTGTTAATTCCAAGGTCAATATATTCATTGAAGTTAGAATCAAGCTGAACAACAGAATACCTAAATGATTTTTCTTGAGCGTTGATATTGGTAGGATCTATCTGCTATAGAATGAGCAGTGTTTTGCTTTATTGAGGACTTAATATGACCTCTAATTGTCCCTTAGGGTAGTTGAATCTGGGATACTCAAATTCATCTTCTAAGACAATATCCTCTAAAAAGAAGAATATCAGTTTCACTGGGAATCGTTCCAAGTTGTGAGCAACGTACTTCTACACTAATGCTTGACTATATTTGAGTTCGTTAGGCCACTTGATTTCTTCAATTAGCTCTGGCATCTAGGGATTTGACTCTGGCAGTGCCTGCTAATCATCTTGATATTCATTCTGGTTTTCATATTCTTGATTTCCAATCTAATTGTATTCAACCTCTCCCTCTATCTTGATATCTTCGTTATTTCCAAAATCATCTGAAGGTACTACTTTGATGTTATACTGCACCTGCTTTTGCTGATAGCTCTAATTGCGCTCTACCTCCTCATCATCATATCTATTCTTTCCATCGTTGTTGTCTAAGTTCATGTCGTAGGTTTCGTACAATTGGTCGTCAATGCCACTATTCTGTCTCTTTGGCTCCTCCTTTTCCATTTACTCAGAATCCTTTTAAGCTGAATAAGCGTTATTTTCTGCTTCCTTCCTTTGATAGACTGTTGCTCCATCTTCTTGATCCTGGGAATAGCCTGTATCCTCATCATCAATGTCACTTACATCCATATTATTGACCTTTTTCCATTGCTTATCATCATCAGCGATGACCTTCGCTCCAATCATGCTTTCTTAGACTCCGATATTATCAGTGCCATCCTCCTTCTTGTTTTTGTTTGCGAATGTAGATGACTAGAAGTAGTTGTTTATGCACTTCGCTTACAGTTCCTACTCTTTGTTCTTGTGATAAGAAGTCATGTTATTATTGTTGTTGTTGTTCTTCTTAGCCTTGATGAACAGATTCTTAGGCATGCTGAGATTGTTTCTACCAGTAGGCTGGCTGATTGTGTATTAGCAATCCATCTCAATCTTGGTCATCCTGATTCCATTCTGCTCGACCTCATCTGCAACATACTCTGTCAGCACATCTACTATCAAGTATTGCTATGGACGGCATGGAATGACCTTTTACTGTTTATTATAGTCAGATGCTTGGGTGTATACTTTACCAGGAGTGCCATCCACAATTGAATTAATCAGATTTCTGACGTTTTCCTCCACAATCTCAACCGAGTCCACTGTATTCTGGGCTTCATTCGATTCTATGAAATTCTAGTTCGATTTAAGAGGAGAGTTATTAATGGTCTCTGGAACTACTTGTAAATCTAAGTTGTGAGACTTTCCGTCTTTTTTCTCCAAATACTTCTCATATTTTTCATAAAGAGACAAAGCAGACACTGCGCTTTCTTCCTTTTAAGCCGAGAAACTTCCTGCATAACCTTTTCTTGCATCAACTAATTGCTCATTTAAGTAAGGCTTAATCCAATCAGTATATCTAGCATATTGATAAGTAGGGCCTGGGATATTTGAGAAATACTCTGCCACAAAGTCATCAGATGCAATGATATTTAGTAGGGAGAGAAGACAGGAAACAGTGTACGAATCCATTCTTCCCTTGTATCTCCAGAGCAGGTGCAGAAGTGAGTCTATATTCTCCTGCGTTGCCAGGTAGCTCTTGTAAGTGAACACCTCATCATTCTGGGAGAAGAGCACCTTCACACCGAGACGAGTCTTAGGTTCATTCAACTTGTCTTCATCTGACATAATAATTTCGTATGATATAGGCTGAGCTATTCCGAATATCCACTCAAGCTTGGTAGATTAGTGCTCATCCTTAACAAGCACAATCTTGGTAACTGCATCGAGATAGTTCTTGACTCTGTCGAAATCATTCTTAGCAATACCTTTAAGCTGGCTCTCACAGATGCTTCTGGTTGCTGGCAGGTTTTTGTAACTCAGATGAGCTAGGAACATTCCAACTGTTTCAGTGTCGAAGCCCATATATTGAATATAGTCTGTAAATATGGATTGATCCAAGTAGTAAATAGTCTGGGTGCTGAGTTCAAATGTAGTCTGATCCCCTCTTTTTGACAGTTCGTAGCCAATCAAGGTTGAGGGAACTGGGTTATCTAAGTCATTCCAAAACATCTCATTATCAATCATTTGCCTTGTCATGCAATATCTTGTCAGCAAGCAAATAAGTTGAACTATTGGCTCAAAATATGGCTCTTCGCCTGCAAGTGACTTCTTTTGACTGCCTCTTTTGACCATTGGGCTTCTGTTTCCAAGCATGAACTCCATCAGATGTGGAATAACATCAAGTAGGCTTAAGAACTTATGAGCCTAGGTCTTTCCGCCATTCGCAATATCAAATAACATCTTCATGAATTGTTCTAGCCTCGACCAGTTTTGATAGCTTTAATTATCTCCTAACTTCAGGATAAAGCTCAGCAACAGAGTATCAGCTTGTGCTTTAAGTTTGACTAAACTTTCAGCTTCTTTATTTTCAGCCTCATCATAAATTTGATATATTTTGTTCATTAAGTAGGCAATGAATTTGCCCAAGTAATACCTTGAAGTTTTATCAGTGCATTCAAACATTACTTTGTAGAATTACTCGCAGTTATCTTTAACTAAGGCCTTCTTAAGGAATTTAAGTAAGAAGGAATCTTAGTTCCTGCTAAGTGAAAATCCAGAATCTAAGAATTAGACTATGCTTTGAAGACTTGTTGTGATATCACTCAGCTAAGTATTGTAATAGTAGTAAGCTAGAAACTCGAATAAAGACTTGTGAGCTATCCTCATAGTGATGTTCTTCAGCCTTGTAAAGTTAGGCAAGTAGTCTAACTTGTATTGATGCTAGGATAGCACTATTTTATTAGCAATATGCTTGAAGATAAAGCGAAGCAGATTGAAGAAAGACTCATTATAGATATATCTATCCATCAAGAATATCACATTATCATAGTTTACTTCACTCTTTATCCATTCAGGCACGTAGGAATCTACTTTGCGATAAGGGATTTTTACTTCAATCTTATCTTCCTCAACTCTAGAATTTGCGGTATCAGCGCATTCCAGAGTCTCACTAGTAACCTCTGTTTACGGCATTTGTTCTTTCTCTACAGAGGAGACTGCAATTAGATCTCTCTTTTGTTGCCTTTCATAAACTAGCATATATGCATTCTTTCCATATGATGAGCCTCCGCCGAAATTCATCAAATAAGAACTCATTTCATCGTCATTAACAAAGTCAGTCTCTTGATTGCCTCCAAATGCTTCAGTCTTCAAGTCTGCAAATGAGAAGAACTTCACACTTTCGTCGTTGAACTCTTTCCATTAGTCTCTTTCAGGAGTTGCCCACTCTGGCTTTGTCTCATCTGATTCTTCCTTTCCTCTTTTCGTATTGATCAATGACCAGTAATGACCATGCTGCCCAGTACCTCTGTGAATAATAACTCCTACAAGTTTATATACGAATTCAGGATCCTTCATCTCCATTAAGCTCTTTACGTATTCGTCCTCAACATTTTCTTAGTACTTTCCTTCTTCAGTCATAGCATCTTTGAATGAGTAGTTTTTAAGATTCAAGATGTTAGGGAACTCAAATCTTGAGTTAATCTTGTCATTTTAGAATGTATCGAAATTGAACACCAATCTCTAAAGATGAACAATCAGCACATTAGGGGTTTCAGCGATTAGCTATCTCTTAAAAACATCTACTTTTTGATTACAGGAATCACACCTGTAATCGTTAATTATTGAGCCCTCAATCAATTTCTATAGACTTTGCTCAAGACTTTTTCTATCTTTGACTGGCACACTGATGTTGTAGAAGTTCTCTTTGAGGTTCTTAACAGTATGGCATGACTAGCAAACTAGCTGATTGCAGAAATTACCACCAAATACACTCTACAGTAGATTTCTTTGCGAAGTCGGCTTGAGTATATTTTCAAGTCTATCGAAGAAGATATTTAGAAACTCTTAAGTGTCTGATTAAATCGCAGTGTTTGTGGGGTTACCCTCGTAGTCCTTGAAAGCAAAGCAAAACTCAGCTGGATTAAATTCTTACTTTTCAGACATCTCAAGGTGGCCAAATAGTCTCTGTAACTATCTTAGCAAGTTGTCATCTACTTCCATTCCTTTATATGTCACCATATCAGGTTGACTATCATCTTCTGCTCTCAGAAGCTAATATCTGAATTGAGGAACCATAAAGAATTATTGAAGCATTGCTATCATATAGCAAATATTTCCAAGATTTGTAATTCCAACGAACTATGACTACTTTTAGTTTTCACTTGGAATGTATTTCCAAGTCTTAGGCTTTTTCCAATCTTTAATGACATTCCAGAGGTCATTCTACATGAAATCTGCTAGCTCTTTTGGTGCCAGACATTCTAATACTTTTTGCAAAAGACTATAGCAAGCAGCCCTTGATTCCTTAGTTTTAGATTTGTTGTCAATCTTAAGTAATGAATATGGATCAAAGAATAGATTCTCATAAAACAACTCGTGGATCAAATTTGTCTCTGAAATGACATCTTGAAGCTGAGTCCTGTTTAGAGTCATTAAATAGCTAAGTAACTTTTCAATTAAGTTAAAATATCCAATCAGAGTTTTATCCTCCATCAAGGAACCTTTCTTCTCCTTTGACTAGTGCTTTTACATTTTCTGGATAGATGTTGTCAATAGTTCGAATGGGTCAAGTTCATTTAAGAGTTCGAATTCAGGCAATGCTTTCTTATCGATTGGGAGTTATTAATAAACAACATACTCATCAACAAGGGCTATGAATAAGTCAAAGAACTGCTTGCATTCTCTGGTTGCATAGTATTGATCTTCTCTTGGGAAGTTCTTATGCAAAAGTTCAAGTAAGTAAATCAGGATCAGTCTGCCATTGTTCTTCTTCACCTTTTATGCAGCACAGAATAAAGCATTAGAGAATTCCTCTCTGACTCTTGGACTTTTATAGGTGTAGAGTCCATTTATGACAAGCTCATTTGCATCGCGTATTCCATAGGGACCTGCTTTTTCCTCAGACCTCTCATATTTATAGAACTCCTCTATTAAATCCTCATTTTTAACAATGATAGCTAGCCAAAGACTCAGAACATTCTCCATGATCAAGAAATCATCATTAGATATTTCTTTCTTTCCTAGAATTAAGCAAATTACGTCTAGAATCTCATTCTATAGATCTTTAAAGTTGATGTTTTCTAAGATGGTTTCACCTAGCCCAGTTTCTCTCATAATTCTGGCGAGTTCAGAAAATCTCTCATTATCATCTTCTAGTTATTACTATTAAGCTGAGGATTAATTTTTATCTTTATCAGTCAGTGTGGCTGTTGCATTCTTTTTGTCATCATTTTTGCTGGTGCCATCATTTCCAAACAAGAATTCCTCAGTAATCTCAATATCATCAATGTTTATTTGTTTGAAGGTGTTAACCTCAGGGGCATTTTGCTAATTCTTTTTCGAGGGAGTAGTGTAAATATCTTCTTACTATCCATTGTTTGCCTCAACTTCCTAATCTTTCTTATCCTCAAGTTTCTCTTACTTCTCCTCCTTTTTGGTTTCATCTACTTTATCAATTTAACTAGACTTCTTGACAAGATTAATGATGTCAAAGACGCTAGCATCATTAGCTGAGAATGCAGACAAGATGAATATTCTGATTAGCTTTAGCATATACTCAAGGAAACTCTTTTCAAATTTAGAGAGTAAATCCATTGGTTTTTGCTGTAGTAGCTTGAGTGAGGCTTCAAACATATTGAGGATTTCATGGAAACCCCCAAGAGTGAGGAACCTCTCAATCCAGTCACTTTTTGTGACTCTTGCCTCCTACTGATTAAGATCTAGGACTGAGCTATCTTCAAGGAGAGATTCAATTATTTGAAGCACATATAGCATCTTGTAGATATTGCTTTAATCAAATATCTCCTCCCATTTGAAATCAGACCTCTAATTCAGCATTTCAATTTTTTACATGAGATCAGGTTTAGTGCTCAATTGCTTAATCAGATGCCAAGCACTTGTAGCAATCTCATTTTAGCTTTCTAGCAATTTGAACAGTGATGAGAAGTAATAATCATTTCTGGCTAATCTGTATCTGGGCATATCTTCCATTGTTAGTCTTTGCTGAGTCAAATAGGTGGCATTTAGCTCGTCTTTTCTAAATGGAAGCAAATCAGAAGTATATCTGAATGCATAGAGGTTTTCTCTAACAACATATTCCTTATCAATGGTGCAGTTTTTGTAAAACAAAAGGAATTCTTCAAAAGTGATCTTTCCATCCATATCAAGATCGTAAATATCGAACAGGCCTTTTACTCTTTAATCATCTTCTGTGACATGCTCCTCGAAGGTGCATGCCTTAGTAAAAGTAGCACAAGTAGCTGGGGTCATTACTCTTTTGCCTGGCTAGTCTTCATCTTCTATTGAGTACTAGTAGAAAATACTGGCAAATACTTTCTTAGTATTTTCATTGAAGTCAGATTTATCTTCATTTAAAAGAGAAATTGCCTTGCTAAGGTATCCTGAGTTTTAGAAAGCATTTAATTGCTCATTGTTTTTGAATTTAAGTTCATGAAGAGTCTTTCCGTTATCAATATCTTTCAAAAGAGTAACGCCTGTATATCTGTAAATGCTGACTCCCGATGGGAATATTATCTGTTCCTGTTAAACATTTCCATCAGTGTCTCTTATTTGATCAAGTCTATACATTGGATTTAGTTTACCAACCATAGCTCTAAAATCCCAAAGAGTCATATTACTCTGAACACTTAGCTCGAATTTCTTGCTTTCTTTATTATAGCCAAGGTTGCTTGAAACTTGAACAGCATTCAGAATTCTGCCTTTTTAAAGACTTTAATGAGACTATACTCCAAGAGTGCCCATTGACTCAGAGTATCTTATATAGTCTTTTAAGAGGTTTAGATATCTGAGAATCCTCTTTTCTTCTTGAGGAAGAATTCTTTGTATGCTTGAAGTCGTAATAGACGAAAATTGATTCAATGGAGTTTCAACTCTTTCGTATTCATCTTTTGGTGCAGTATCTCTATTGGCAATAATCTCTCTATATCTGTTGATGTTCATCACTACTTTGCTTAGGAATTCATCATCGAATTAGGGCAGTAAGTCGACCAATAAGAAAGATACATTAGTGTAAAGCTTTATTAGTAGTTGTATAGATTTTTCAACAACAGTTGGATCCGAGGCTTCTACAGCAACTTTCCAAATTGCTTCAATACTCTCAATCTCTGAAGGTCTTACCAGGATTTGAAAGTCTAGCTCATCATCGTCCACCAACTAAGTCTGCTTGTTCTAGTTAAAAGAATAAGACTTGAATTCCTAGCCACTCACGTTACTGTAAGAAGTAAATTTAGTAGATTTTTGTCTTTAAAGTAGCTATGTTCTAATGATTTTGTTAGATTGCTCGTTTATTAGAACGAAGAAGGATTAAATACAGTTAAATCCCTCATAGGTTAGATGCTAGAAAGTTCTCTCTTGGTTAGCTATTTTTTCTTTAAAAAATTGAATCAGACTTTCTATCTCAACAACCTATATTCCTTCATATTAACTTTTACAGATTCCTTGAAGCCATTTGTAGATCATATCTGAGTCTTAATTAGTTAGTGAATGAACCACCAACTCGTCCCAAAGTATACCAAGCTATTCCTTTTCTAGGTATATGTTTGAATGTGTGATCACATAACTCAAGAATTCCATTCTCTGGCTTAATTACTCTGAATGGATAAACACCTCTGCAAGTGTCTGATCAAAGATAGGCTTTTTATCAAAGTTTTGATCATTATCCATCTTACTCCTATAACCTCTTCTAGCTTTAAAGAGATAATGAGTGAAGTTGTCAAAGAAGAGCTACATTAGCTTGTGATCATCCTCTAGCCAATCAATAAAGTCCATTCTGCTTTTGAAATACTGAGGTATTAAATGGTCAGTTTTGCCATTTTCAACAGAGAATATATCATCTGGGTCATCTTCTGGATAGCTTTTGATTATCAAAGTCTCTTAGAAGTTAGTAAAAAACTTGTTAAGCATCTTAATTGATAGGTAGCCTTAATTATTCTAAATTTGTTAAGACAGTTAATTTTCTTACATTTTTAATATTCTCTATGACTCTTATGATATAAGGTAACTTTTGTGCATTTTCCCAATTCTTAAGGATATCATTTATAGAGTTAGCTGCATAAATCATGATTTACTTGTCAAGAGTCCTATAGTTTGTTATTAAAACTAAAAATTTTGTCTTACTCCAAATTTGATGTTATAATCTTCCAGAACAGTTCAATGGCTTAAACACCATATTGAGTATCTGAGCCTCGAGTCCTCTTAGCCAATTCATGCACAAGTTCAAGCTCTTCCATCATCAACTTTTGAAGTGGTATTTGATCTATCTGTGTGATTATGAATGTGACTTCATTGATTTTGAGTCTTGTTGAAAGCTCATTGAAGACTCTGAAAAGTTCAATCTTTATTGCCTCATCTATTTTGAATGAGTTCCAAATGTACTCAAGTTCCTCTTGATTAAGTGAGTTTTGACTAAGAAGCAGTTTCAGTAGATCCTCAGTTCTCTAGACTAGCTGAAGATGTCCTCTCTCAAGTGAAAATATGTGAAATAATACCTTTCTTTGCTTTATTCTCTAGATAACTTCTGTGATCAGACTTCTATCTTGTATTCTCTCTTGATTGTTTTGAATCGTATCTATACTGTAGGTGAAAGTACTAATATTGGCGGTTTTACAAACCTCTTAAATCATCTTGGCCCCGTCGATTCTTCTCTCCAAGAAGCTTTGCTCCAGGAAAATGCATCCAACTTCAAGACTGAGCAGGCTCTTTTCATACTCTCTCTGCTTATAAGTCTTCATTCTACTTTAGAGACCACCAATGGTGAAACTTATGATGCTATCAATTTTATCTTTTTTCAAGTTTCTGATCTGAGCTTGTGAAAGATTCAAAAGCCTTTTCCTCACAGCTGCATCAAGTTTAGGCAAGAATTTGTCCAAGAATATTTTGTTGAACATTCCAGTACAGTTTACAAGGCATTCCAGGTAATTTTGAATGAGGTCAAGGCTGAGATTTTCATTAGAGTCATCTTCTATTTTATTGAGAATCTTTTGGAAGCCGCCAAGCTAGCCGAATCTATTTAAGAAATTCACAAGAAGTGAAGATCTACATCTCCTTCTAAGAACAGCATAGACTTGTTCTTCTTCAGGTATCCTCCCAAACAGCAGTAGATCCATTTAGTCATCAATAGTTTCTTCATACTAGGAGTTGTTGTTCACATTTTTCTGATTGTCCCCTGGAACTTTTGCAAATGTTTAGAATTTTTAAATTCTTGGGCTATAAGCTGGGATCGTCTCATCGAACTTCTCGGACCAGCCAAAGTATTTTCTCTGATCGTCATCAGTCTTTGAACCCTCAGGGTGATAAATTCTAAAGCCTATTCTAAGTCTGTGAACTTCTCTGTCTTCATCTTTGACGGTCTCTCTGTATTGAACTTGAGACTGATACCATTTTTTAGTACTGTCGTATCCATCGACTAAATCCCCTTTTTGAAGGCTAGCTCTCCATTCATCTCCCGAGGATTTTGTATCGTATCTGTCTATTTCTGGTGAGTACCAAGGCAGAAACCTTGAAGTCAGGGACTTTATGTCGTTTTCGAAGGCCACAAGGAAGATGTCATTTACTATAGAATGGATCTCGCCTTTTGCCCACATTTTCAGGTTGAATTCGTAGTCAATCTTAACGGCATCGACTTTTGAGCCAATCTAAAGGCTCTGTCTCCAGTTTTTCTCTTCTAGGGAAAGTTTGTCAATGATTGTAGGGTCAGATGTAGCTGTGATACTTTCCTCAGATTGGAACAAGTGAAGGTGAATGTTGTTCGTCATATCGAAAAGATTCTTCATTGCATCTGACATTTCTAAGTTGTCTTTATCTATTTAAATAGAAAACATATCGCAGAGTTCCATGACTATTGCGTAGACAACTCTTTAATGCTATAAGATGTAAAGGAAATAATTAATATACATCATCTTCTTAGTCTCTGAATTCCCTAAACTTAGCAAAAGCTTTGCATATCTCGCTTAGAAACTATCCAAAAAAGAACTTCTTAAAGTCAGGGTCTGAGTTTGGGTAATCTGGGTTTTCATTGTTGATATACTTGAGTAGCTCAAGGATATCGTCCATGTATTCGATGGGAAGTTGTCTGTTGTCAGAATGGTAGAGATGCTCCTGAATGGAGTGAAACTTTTCCATGAGTTGCCTCAAAGATATTGGTTAATAGTTGCTCATTGCGTAAATAATGAATATTTACAAATAAATTAATTATCTCGATAAATCTTCATATTTTTCAGCAGGGGTTTTGGGGTTTTGGGGTTTTGGGGTTTTGGGG